TATTAAACTTGAAGTCCTACTATGTAGCACTGCCAATATCAAGTTTAATTGCTATTTCCAGTTACAGCACTGTTGCCTGTTACTGGAGTTTCCTGCTAGGGCAGGAGATGCTGTCCTCTGCTTTCGAAAGACAAAGCATAGATCCAGGCTGATGGGCGAGAGCTGAGTGCAGCTCTGGCACCATTAAGCTTGGGCTCCCTAGACACCCCATGCCCCCTCCTGCAGGAAGATAGTTACAACATATAGTAAGGCACTATGGACCTCAAAGACCCTCTCTAGGAAGCTTTTGGGGACAGCAGGAGCTCTTGCTAGAAAAGGGTGTTTGTGCTCTTGTTACAAAACATTCTTATTACAAAAAGGGGGTGTGTGTTGGCTTTTAAGCTATGGTGAGGGACCTTAGCCCTGTGCAGGAGAAAGGTGCTTCTCTGGACACGACCTGTCTCTCTGCTCAGGCTCAAGAGCTACATACCATCTTTAAATGGCAAACCTCACCCTGGAAAGAAATGCATGCAGGAGCTTACTGTTCCAGCTTTCCCACATGAGTTTTTCTCAGAGAGGGAAACATGTAAGCCTTAGGTTATTCACAGGCTGGGAATAAATTACTTCTGTCATACTGCTTAGGCAATTTTATCTTTCTGAATTATATGGAAAGAAGAGCAATTAGCTTTGAGACTATTGCTCCTTTCATGCATTTCAGCTGCCCATTTCCCATTCTTCTTTATAGGGCAGCTAACAGTAGATATTTTACTCAGACAACTTTTAAGAACTGGAATTGTATTTTCTCTTTACATTTTCCCCACTTCTCAGGAGGCTGTGCAGCACACATTTCATACCATACCTGGTCTGTCTCTTTCCTTTCATACTCTCAAATCTGTGTGCATAGGATTAGTTTTTGAAACATATAATCCTTTAGCAAGCAAATAATGGGCTGATGCATGACAGCTGCAGGTTGTTGGCATTGTCTTTGCGCTCTTGAGACTTATGACTAGGGACAGTTTCAGTGATGTTTTCCTGTTGCACTAAACAACCTGATAGAGGCTGAGATCAGATACACCCAAGTTTCTATCTTCTTGCATAAGAAATGAGTTGCAAGAATCCACACATTTCCTGGCAATTCAGTGCCAAACCCTGATGCTTGCTGTAGAGGATCTGTAGAGCTGCAAGCCTGTACTCCTCTTCATCGCAGACTTACAACCTCACAGTTCTGCCCTTCTCCACTGTGCCAGGTAGTGTTTGACAGAAATACCTGCCTTTATGCAGTGCATCTTTTGTGCAGGATTAGACATTGAAGCCTGGTAGTACAGAAATCTTAAGAAAAAACTATCTTCAAAGTGAAGGATAGCAGAAAAATTATTAACAAATGTCATGTCAACAAATACACTTAATTGCAAACTCTGGTTGCATGGGATGCTTCTTGGGCCAGGAATAGGGTGGGCAAGATTATTGCAAGATGTTCTAATAAAGCAATGTTGTCTTGGAATTAAAAGATCACTGCTGTGGAATTGATCTTATTGTCTTGGAATCCATGGGGATTTTGTACATAAGGAAAAGCTACTGTACATTTTTCCATAGTAAATCTGAAATTAGGCTAGCATGTAAAGCATATTTCAATTTTGCTGCGTTAGAAATGTCCAATTTTAGAAGAAAGAGACTGAGAATGATTACTGGTATCTGTATTTTGGATTATCTTCTTCACACTGATGACATCCATCCCTATGCAGAAGCCTGCACAAAGCCTATGGGGCACTTGTGGGCAGCCTGAACTGCTTTATGACATGAGATCCAGGCTTGGAAAAGGATCGTTTTGCAAATGTAATTTTACCTGCTGCATCCCCTTTGTCTTTTCCCTGCCTGTCCCTGCGTCCTGTGTTACAGCCAAATGGTGTTTCCCAGTTTGTCTGCTGTGGCTTCCTGCTTGTTAGATGGTTAGCCGTGACTTCCTGTACTGTACCTGCTGCACCATGTGGGATTCCCAGGTGGTCTCTCCTCCAGGTATTAGGCAAGACCCACGCTGCTTACCTCTTACGGAGAAGCCTACAAAATATAGCATCATTTATGCTAGAAAGTACAACATAATTTCAATGATGCTGCTTGGTTTGGACTTCCTTTGCAATAACAGTAGGGGAAAGTAACTTTCTTAGGGAGAAATTCTGGTTCCCCTGAAGCCATTAAACATTATTAGTACCAGAGAGCTTTTGGGAATTTCTGTGGCACAGAGTAGATCTTTTGTATACTGCCAAGTCAAGACCAGAGTTATTATCTGGACTCTATGAGATTTCTGAATGCATAAAACCCATTTTTGTATTTTCCCCTTTGTTTGTAATGAAACAGAATGGGACTATGGTATTTTGTGCGCCAATGAAATGACACTTGGTATTTAGTAAATCTCAGCACTGATTAGCTTTTTTAAATGCCAAGAGAGGTTTATTGATGGATCATTTTGTGGTCCTGGTATTAAAGTGCTCGTAGCCTCTCATTTCAAACAGTTTTTCATAATAATATGAAAACAGTTCTAGATGTGTTTTAGGCATCAGCCAAGATGTATCCAAGTGGTGCAATTATCCCATGCTGTATTAAAGCAAAACAAGGAGCACTGATAATATCCTGACATAAACAAGGATTCTAGAGAAAGGATTGGTTTAAGTTTACTTTTATTTTTCCAGATATTCACTAAACAATGAGAGGTATTTTTCTGCACAGGTTTTATTCTTTAGTTTTGGAGGCATGACTAGCAGATGCGATATGTCTGAAACCAAGAGGGACTTAAAATGTTGGTTGATTCAAGATACCTGCATTTAATGAATAACTTCCAATAAAATCAGATTGCACAGGGCTGAATGGCAGTCATTGCCGTGGGGCTCTTGCAACCTGTGGTCACAGTCCTCTGTGAGCTCCAGGTATGCGGACCTACATATAGCCTGCATGGCACTGATTAAACCATCAGGGTCTAAAAATAAATAGCACAGACAAGATGATGGAGGAAAACTGGCTGAGACATTAGTGCTTTCTGACAGTAACTTTGTACATCAGAAATCACTGTAGATTTTCTGATCACTGTATTTCTATAGCTTCTCCAATTAAGCTGTTCTGTAAAATATTACACAGTCTCTTGCTGAGAAGGATCCAGGACATGAGGGAGCCTTGGCACTTCTGGTTGTTATCTTCTTTAATGTATCCTCACTGCAGCTAATCACACAACTTTCCATCCACCTTACATCTGGAAGAATAGATTTACGTATACAAGACAAAGGCTTTAAATCAGTCAGCGTAAGCCATGAATAACTTCATTAGAATCAATATATTCAGCCAGTGCAGTTTAGATAAGGCTCAGCCAGAAGGACTTTTTAACTGTGAGCCAGTCTCAGTGCTGCCTTGCATGGTGAATCATACACAGCCTGATACATTTTAGGCTGGGCACAGATTTTAAATCAACAGGTTGTTGATAGGTTAATGGATATCCCTTTTCCTTGATACTTTCCTTCACATTAACAGTTGGAGAAAAAGTTCAGGTGATTGTACACTGTTATTTTGTAAAGGTAATATGGGCTGCAGAGTGCTTTATATAGGTAAGTGCACTGGCACCTTGCTTTGGGTTCACTCTGCTCCCCACAGCTTGTAAGCACTGTGAAACTACAAAAAACACACAGAGAAAAATTACATTAAAAGGAATCTGGTGAGTTAGGTTGGACAGAAGGAACTCGGTTTCTACAGCTTGCCAAAGAGAAGGCTCAGGGGAGACAAGATCATAGAATATAAATACCTTCAAAGGAAGGGGATTATCAGAAGATGACAAAACAAAAAGTAGTAGCTTCAAACTAAGGAACACAAAGTACAGTGCAGTAATTAAGCCCTGAATGGAGTATGGTGCCAATGAGTATGGGTCCAAGAGGGAGGAATGAGGTTAGAAGACTTAAAGTGATAGAGGAAGACAGGATTACAAGTGTAATTAATTCAGTGTTTTGGAAGCTGTGGGATTAGGAGTAGGCAAAGGCAATATCCTTCCTCTCTCCATAGAAGAGCTCTGGAGTCTGCTGCACACCGCCCACCAAGCCAAGATGTCCTTGTCTTCAGCGGTCTTCTTTGTGAGGGTAGCACTTGTGAGGGAGAATCAACCTACTAAAGCAGAGCCATCATGAGCCTGCACACCGAGTTCAACTTCTGTGTAAATCTGCACCTGCTGAACTGCCCCAAGGGTGGAGGTGAGGTTTTGGTCTGATCTGAACGTTGGCATCATGTTACCCCAGGAGGCACCAGAGCAGGAACACCTCATTCTTTAACTTGCTGCTTCCACTGTGACTATTGACGACAAAAAACCCCAAAGAATTATCTGAAACATCACCATGTGGAAAATATAATTGAAGTTCACTGATCTGTAAAGCAGAGACGTTCGGGAAACTGATAATGGGGCTATTTTGGAATTTTGCTTTGTCTACACACAGAATGGTGTGTCTATAATAATAGTGGGTGAGGGCTGGGATGCCAGCCTCCAGAAGAGCTCCTAGAGAAAAAAGGAGGGGTGACCTGGCTGGCCCAGCCACCAGGGACTGACACCAAGGGGTGAAGCAGGGGTGCTCTCGCAATGTGGGGTGGGAACTTCAGACCTCTCAGACCAGTAAAGCATCAGGAGCTGGGAGGAAGCCCTGGACTGTGGATGCATGATATGCTCATCCACTGCATGGGCACCTTGCTCCCTCTCTAATCAATCTATAAATATACCTTGTCGCTCAAGGTCAGAAAAGGGGGAAGTAATGAAAGGCAACCATCTGTCCCCAGGTCCTCCTGAGACTGGGCAGTGACACTGAGACACTTGGGGTGCTTCAAACCCCAGGGCTCAGATTTTGCAACCCATTTCTCCATCTACCCACAACATGGGCTGCGTTTCCAGGAAGCTGTGATTAAGCTTTTTCCTTTTACTTCCCAATCATCTGTGAGAGTTAAAGGCTTTTAAATAAAATGTGCTCTGTGTGGTATTTAATTAGTTAATGCTTTTAATGTCTTACATCATTTTAAGATTAATTGTACTTCTTTTCGCTTTATGAAGAGCTCCAGATGTGCAAAAATGAATCTCCATTTTAAAGGAAGAAGGAAGCATATTCTGAAACAAATAAAGGCAGATAAATCATTGCTTTCAAAAGACAAAGAATGTCTAAATTATTGACAATAGAGGGTCCAAAACAGTTATATGCCCACAGCCACCATCTATCCTTTCTCCCGCTGAAGCAATGTCAAAGGTGAGGATTAGTTCATCATCAAAATAGTTTTCAACTTCAAAATAATTGCTTATTCTTCTTGTAAAAATGTTGTGGTCAAACAGCAAAACACCTTGGAAATACCAGAAATAGAACACGGGTTCACACAAGAGATCACACCTTTCAGATACATGTTTAATGGTCTTTAGGAACATTTTTAGTTAAGTCATTGGCTCTAAATCGGACGTAAGCTTAAAATATTGCCATGAATTAAAATATGTGCTTGTGTTCTGGCTAAATAAAGAAAATCTCAGAAGATGGCAAATTACCATACTCAAGAACTATTTCTAGAAAAGCAGCGCCTGATTAGTCCACATTTTGATCAAGTAAACAGAGGACAACCAATTCTATAAATAATATTGGGGTTTATGTCAGTAAAAATTAGCACGATGCGATCTTTACAGTCTCAGTTGTTTTCAGATTAATTGGACTACATAATGAAAGTAATTACACGCTGATATTTTGGTGCATGTCTCAGTGTATCTTGGAAGGAGTCCAGTAAGTTGTCTGCCTATATCTGATTTATAGAATAGCGATTTGTCATTTTAAATTGCTCCTTATGAGCAGTAAGCATGAAGTATTTGTATAAATAGTAAATGTCTTTTGACTTGTACATTTCTGTGCCCCCCAAAAAGATGTCACTCAGAATAAAGTACTGCAAAAAAAAAAACAACCCATGTGGCTTATGGACAAGAAACACGCTCTTGAAGCTAAAAAGTGAAAACTGGCCTGATATTCGACATGCCTGTGTATGCTGCATGTGTGTGTACAAATCATGTTACATGAACGGAAAAAATGCTGTGTTAAACATTTTTGGGATAAACAGCCTCTGCTGTGTCAGGGAATCAAGGTAGATTTTTTTCCCAAAATGTAGCAGAGCTGATAAAGAAGAAGTGTGAGAAAGGCTGGCTTTAAGACTGAATGAAATCAGGGCATGACCTGGTGAAGAGAATAATACTTTACAGCCCTCTGGGTTTTCATGCAGGATATAGGGTCTCTTCCACCCCATCCCTTAAACAAAAAGATAAAGAAGAGAGAAAATTGGAGACTCAGAGGCTACAGCCTTTGGATACGTACCTGGGGAAGACAAAGGTTCGTGATGTTAATAGGAATGTTTCCAGTGCCTTCAGCAAACATCAGGCAAGAACTTGGAGAAGGCACTGGGAGCAGCACCAGGATGCTTTCAGGAGAGGAGGTGACAAAAGACAGGGGTGTGGTGGGAGACCACCCTGCATTAACCACCAGCAGGCTGGTGCTGCTTTCAATCCCTATGATCATTCCCATGAATGACCTCCCTTTCACATGAATGACCTCCCTTTTCTCTTGGAGGAAGTCTTCCCTGCAACAGTGATACATAACATTCATCAGGGGCTGAAACAGGGTCAGCAGCAACCAACACAGCTCCAGACTGGGCATTTTAAATTTAGCACGGTCTATCCTGCTGCAGTAACTGCCCTGCCATGGTGACTTGTGAAATGAATCCACCTTTGTCCTGATGAGCCTTTCCAATGCTGCCACTGTTGACGTTGCTCCCTCCGCAAAGATCATGCTCTGGGCTGCTCAAGAGCCACATGCTGTTTTGCTCCCTGATGGGCTGTCACCCCAGGTGAGGGGACCACCCTTCAGTCTGTTTGCAGGTCACATAAGCACTCAGCATCACTGCAAAGGACCAGCAGGACTTTAATGGTATTTCTATTACAAGCAGATCCTGCCTTTACCCTCTGCACCCCTCCCTTAACCTCACTAAGATGAACCTAGGTGCTATGTTAACAAGTCTAGGCCTTCATTTGACTGAGTCAAGCCATTTCCCTGACTCATTTCAAGCCTGATTTTGCACATTTCACAAAGCAAGGCATTCACCAGTCACCTTTGTGCTAACCAGGAAGTTGGGAAGAGACGAGTGTCCCTGGGCCAGGCAGAGGACAAGCCACCCAGACCCTTCCTCATGGCAGCCTGTGCTCCCCACACAGAGGGGGTTGCACCTGCATTCTGCATCACCCCACCGCCTCTACCTATGGGCATGGTGGACCACTTAGTCATTCCTGAGTTAAGTTCAATTTCATTAATAGCCATGGTCATTTGCAACTTCTGCTACAGTTATGCTGAACGTGGTATTTTCACAATACCTGTTCACGTTCTAATTCACCTGTCCCACACACCTTTATTCGGGTTCTTAGTTGTACACATATTTTATGTCAGGTAATGGTAACGGCGCATTTGCTGGTGATACTTTCTGTCTTGAATGTTTTATGACCAGTATTCAGGTGAAAGTTAAAGACTAAAATCTCAAGAATGCACAAAAAGAGCTTGTGAAAATTGTTTCTGCGGATAAAATAAATGACCTTTCTTCTGCTGTTTACACAGGAGAAAAAGGTTTTTAAACTATGCTTTGTATTTAAAACCAGAGTATTATACAAAAGAAGCGTTAATTGTAGTCAGCAAATTGACAGATTGCTTCTGGCCATCATGGGCTTGATTTCCAAAGGTATTTGGTGCTTAATAAAGCAGTTCATTACCTTCTGGGGTTTCAGAAATACTGCAGTAGGCCTGATGCACTGTCTCTGTCAAAATCAGTGCCAGTAAGACACCAAAGCACTTCGGAAAATCAGCCATACATGCAAGAGCATCTTTGTAAATACATACAGATATTCTTTAATTTGCAGATTCAGATGATGGTTTTCTTGTCCATTCGGGGTTTTTGTTTTGAAACTGGAAGATAGAAACATTTTCCTGCTTATTTTAACTCAGTCTCTCAGCCTTAGATGAAGTAACACAAATGAAGAAAACATTATGTTTGCATCGCACAGCTAAAATTTCCTCTGGAAGTAATTCAGAAAAGCTTCTTCCATACCGCACAAACTGAAAACGTTCCAAAGTAAAAAATATTAAAAGAAAAAGAATGTAAAAACCCTCTTGATCCATTTGGGAGACTTACACAAAGTGATACACAATATTGGACAAAATGATTTAACTCAGGGTGGCCACAGCGATAGAGAAGATATTTTTCTCATTGGACAAATGCACTTTGAACTCATTAACATCTGGGAATAATCAGAGTAAATTTAGGCCTTAGAAGAATTTGTCACTGCCATGAACGCAAACAGTATTTTTAAAGACAAGTGTATTCATTTTCAGTTGAGACTTCCAATTTAAAGGAAAAAAAGAGGGCTTTTTTATGTTGGTAAGCATGACCATAATCTCTGATGTTTATGGGCTGTACCTTGAGATGAAACGTTTTTTAATTAAATGTGGCAATATCTATAAATCTGAAATATTCCCAAACCCACACGCTCTGAGTAGATGATGTTATGTACTTAGAGATACGTCTATAGTGACAAGAGCACTAGTCCTGCAGATGGCAATTACTACCTTATGCAACACAGGACATGACAACACGAGCAGTGGGGTAAACAGCTATAAAAGAAGACAACCACCCAGTGGCTAAAATGAGTGATTCTGAAGGAACATGCATCTCCTGTTGAGCTCACCCCAACAAAAGCCACAGGCAGGCAGTGTCATCCTGGCACCTCAGATAGAAACCACAGCTGGTGGAGCTGGGTCTCCTCCAAGCACTTGGATTTTGGGAAGGCAGCAGGATGAGCAGCATGGCTGGGCACTCCACAGCCCTACAAGAACTGAGGGAGATCTTCAGGCCCTTTAGTCTCCTTCTGCTGGCATGGATGTGTGTTAGCAAGGAAATTTGTATCCAGGCAGATGTCATTCAGTACAGTCATTGCTGCTCCAATACAAAGTGAAATATATTTGTTCCTCACAACCTTCTGGTGTGTGTTTCTATTGTCCCAATCTTGCTTTAATGCCTTGCCTAGGATTTTATCACTTCTAATAAACAAATACTCATTATAAAGACCATTCTGCCCATGCAAGTTCTAAATCAGAGTAGCAGTTACCATTTATAAGACTTCAATGTTCAGATAGACAAGCTGCTACCCAATATCATTTAGATAATGTGTTGGGGCTGAACGTAACTGATAATAAACTAATGTGGATTCATTATGATGACTCAGACAAACAATATTACATTATAAATTCCAGGTAATATATTTCTGTTTAGAGTTGATGTGGTCTTGCTAAGAAAAATGGGCATCTTAAAATGTTGTTCCTTTGGACTGAAAAAGCTGCTTCAATTCTTAAAGATAAAGATTACTGAAAGACAGTGCAAAGACCTCTAAAAAGGCTTAAAACTGAAGAGAAAAGGGGTGAAAAAAAGAGCAGATTTTTCTTTTAATATGCAAGTGACTTCCTTGCTATCCTATCACAAGAACATTGCTACCATCTAATTCCGAGGTTGCAGGTTGGTGTCAGAGATCTCGGGAATCCAAGCGTGTAATAACGTGGGTACAATTTAGGACAGGTCAGACTGGAGTTTTATTAACCATGATCACAGGGAAGAACACTGGGACAGCATTGCCCCTTCTGCTCCCCAGCGCTCTGCCAAGTGATTGCAGAGACACAGGCTATATACCCACTGCGTCAAGGAGGCAAAAAAAGAAAAGAGGAAGAGGTGAGGAAAACCAATCATTTTGATATTAACAAAGCCAGGTATCCATCTCTAGCAGGGATGGGCTCCTTCAGTAGCTTGCTTGGAGCCACAGCTCCAAGAAGCACTCACACAGGAAATAACATAAAGAATTGGAGGGATGGCTCTTGGCGGAGCGTGTATTAGGAAGCATGCCCCACATTACCTTCAATCAGTAGGCAATGTGGGGAGGGGAAAACAAACATAGACTGCTAGCTCGTAGTCGAAAGGACTGTTCTTTTAGCTAGGATAAACTTCTTAGCCAGACCTCTCAGATGTTAAGTATTAACAATTTTTACCACCACATTGATAAAACATGCCTCAGGGTGCTGACTCTTACAGTTTTGTCATGTACAGTCAACTCTGTATTATCACTCATAACAATCTGCCTTTTTTATTTCCCCCTGACACATGCAGCTGGGGAGTGAATGTGCTCATAGCACAAACCTGTTCTCTGCCACGTGCTGGTGTAATCTTCCCAGTCACAAGAAGTTCACTGGGTCATGCCTAGCGAGTGAAATGAAAAAGTCCTCATTGCTGCTGCTCTCCCTCACCTCCTCCCAGACACACACACCAACTATTCTGATGATACCTCAGCATATAATAATGTCTTCTATGCTGCATTTTCCAATGTTTATGGCCAGGTTTCCTAGCAGCAGGTTGTAATCGGAATCTGGCTGTGAAATAAACAGGTACAAAATGACTGACAATTCCCAAAGACGTAAAAATAAGCACATTTTAACCCTATGCTGTTAAAAGAGTTCCTGCACAGTTCCTACAAAGTATTGTCTTTGCTTGAAGCTGAACAAACACTTCTAAATGAGGCCCTTCAGCTACTTTTTCTTTAAGTACATGCTACATGAATTATAAGCTTATGAAAAATGTCACGACATTATTGCACTTGGGATATCTTTGAGCACAGTCAAAGAAACAGCATTTGTACCATACTCACACAATGCTCCGCCTGTACTCTGTAACTTACTTGCTCTAACAAGTATATACTGATAGTTTCATTTGTGGACAGGACTCATGTTAAGATGACATTACAGTCTGTGCCTTTCTCACATCAAATTCACATAACTAAAACCAAAACAAAACTGCTCCTGTGAATACCTTACACTGATTGCACAACTGGAAGAGATCAGCTATGCGAACAGCGAATAACACTATTCTTACTCATTCCAGAGAACTGAATAATCTGAAAACCACCATTATGTGCATTGTGTACATTGTATGTAAAGCTTATTTCTACTTTTCATTTGTCATTATATACTTCCATATATGATTTTAACAGTGCAGTCTTCATACAAATACTATAGACTAGAGCCATAGAATCATAGA